ACTATTGAAGGGAAAATTATGAAACTTTCAGGAGAAAAAGAGGCAAAATGTGTGAAAATGCACCCTCTTCTATTTGAATTTTTTTTATGGAAAACTACCCAAGGGAAAATTATGAGGAGACATAGAGGAAAGTCAGGAGCTCATCATACTAAAATTTCAACCTTTTCCAGTAAAAAATAACAAAATCCCCAATGTACCTACTAGTTTTTCATTAAAAATTTTCAAACAAATTGTTTCCAGGTGCAATATGTTTCCTACTAGTATCTAGTACAGTAACAATGGCAGTGCCATTCAGCTTGGGCAAAGTCCTAGACATAATTTACACAAACACAGACGATCTACAATCAGCCAAAACCCGCCTAAATCAAGTGTGCGGCATCCTCTTAGGCGTATTCCTATTGGGAGGCGTTTGCAACTTTGGCCGCGTCTATTTCATGTCTATAGCAGGTAAAACTTAAGGCCTGTTCTCACAGCAATCAATGTTTGTGATTTCTGTGAGTGAATTATTATTGCCTCTACATCATAAGTTTGTAGGCTATAGAATGACTCAAGCCTTAAGGACAAGAGTCTTTGACTCAATAGTCAAACAAGAACAAGGCTGGTTTGATAAAAGACCAACCGGTGAATTAATCAATAGATTATCCTCTGACACCCAAGTAGTGGGCCAGGCACTTTCACAAAACATCTCAGACGGTCTTAGATCAACTGTAATGGTAATAGCAGGTACAGGAATGATGGTAAGCAAGCCTCTTTTTAAATCTACATTATTTCTAATTTAATAAATAATATAGTTTTATATGTGTCCTAAATTGGCCTTTGTTGGCCTGGCAATAGTTCCTCCTGTAGCCGGAATGGCTGTAGTCTACGGCCGTTATGTAAGAGGCATTTCTAGAAGACTGCAAGACTCTTTGGCAGATGCTACTAAAGTAGCTGAAGAGAAAATTTCAAATATGAGAACTGTAAAGGCTTTTGCACAAGAGCCTAGAGAAATTGAAAGCTACAAACTATCTATTGTAAATGTTTTGAATTTAGGGTACCTAGAAGCCAAAGCTAGGGCTATTTTTTATGGAATGGTAAATTTTTATCCTAAATAATTATAATTATTAACAAAAAAAAATTTCAGACAGGCTTTAGTGGACACGTAATTATAATTTCTGTATTATACTATGGTGGGGTGCTAGTTACTTCCAATGAAATAACCGTAGGCAATTTGTCTTCCTTCCTCTTATACGCAGCCTATATAGGTGTTTCTGTCGGAGGCCTGTCAAGTTTTTACACAGAACTAAATAAATCAGTTGGAGCAGCTCAAAGAATATGGGAAATAATGGACAGGACTCCTGCAATACCTGTAACAGGGGGTTTGACCCCTTTAACAGACCCTCAAGGACATATTGAATACAAAAACGTCAAATTTAGCTATCCTTCTAGACAAGATACTGAAATTTTTAGAGATCTAGTGTTGGATATAGCTCCTGGTAAAATGGTGGCTGTGGTAGGGCCCAGTGGGTCTGGCAAAAGTACTTTGGCTGCTCTATTATTGAGGCTGTATGATCCTATTGATGGGGCAGTGTACTTAGATGGGCAGAATATTAGAGATTTGAATCCTAGTTGGGTCAAGAAGCATATTGGGACTGTTAGCCAGGAGCCGGTATTGTTTTCAAAGTAAGTACATTAAGTTTTTGATAATATTAAAGCATAATTTTTGAAATTCCAGGCAATTTTTCTATTTTCCTAGCTAGTGAATGACAAACTTGTCTAGACATTTTTTTTTTGAAAATTGTTTAGGGGGAAATTTTGAGATTTTCAGGGTAGAAAAGGGGAAGATTATGAGCTTTCTGGAAAACTACTGAAGAGAAAATTGTGGAACTTTTAGGGGAAAAAGAGGAAAGTTAGGAGCTCATCCTACTGAAATTTCAAACTTTTCCAGTGAAAAATAACTGAAAATGAACTTGAAAAATCCAAATTGAGCCAAAATGCACTATCATACATTTTAATTTTTTTCTGGAAAACTACTGGAGGGAAACTTGTGAAACTTTCAGGAGAAAAAGAGGAAAGTTTGGAGCTCATCATACTAAAATTTCAAACGTTTCCAATGAAAAATAATACCATGGGAAATTAATGAATATCAATTTGCAAAATCCAAATTGAGCCAAAATGCACCATCATACATTTTAATTTTTTTCTGGAAAACTACTGGAGGGAAACTTGTGAAACTTTCAGGAGAAAAAAAGGAAAGTTTGGAGCTCATCATACTAAAATTTCAAACTTTTCCAATGAAAAATAATACCATGGGAAATTAATGAAAATCAATTTGCAAAATCCAAATTGAGCCAAAATGCACCATCATACATTTGAATTTTTTCTGGAAAACTACTGGAGGGAAACTTGTGAAACTTTCAGGAGAAAAAGAGGAAAGTTTGGAGCTCATCATACTAAAATTTCAAACTTTTCCAATGAAAAATAATACCATGGGAAATTAATGAAAATCAATTTGCAAAATCCAAATTGAGCCAAAATGCACCATCATACATTTGAATTTTTTCTGGAAAACTACTGGAGGGAAACTTGTGAAACTTTCAGGAGAAAAAGAGGAAAGTTTGGAGCTCATCATACTAAAATTTCAAACTTTTCCAATGAAAAATAATACCATGGGAAATTAATGGAAATCAATTTGCAAAATCCAAATTGAGCTAAAATGCACCATCATACATTTGAATTTTTTTCTGGAAAACTACTGGAGGGAAACTTGTGAAACTTTCAGGAGAAAAAAAGGAAAGTTTGGAGCTCATCATACTAAAATTTCAAACTTTTCCAATGAAAAATAACACCATAGGAAATTAATGAAAATCAACTTGCAAAATCCAAATTGAGCTAAAATGCACCATCATACATTTGAATTTTTTTCTGGAAAACTACTGGAGGGAAACTCGTGAAACTTTCAGGAGAAAAAGAGGAAAGTTAGGAGCTTATCATGCTAAAATTTCAATTTTTTCCAATGAAAAATAACACCATGAAAAATTAATGAAAATCAACTTGCAAAATCCAAATTGAGCTAAAATGCACCATCATACATTTGATTTTTTTTCTGGAAAACTACTGGAGGGAAACTTGTGAAACTTTCAGGAGAAAAAAAGGAAAGTTTGGAGCTCATCATACTAAAATTTCAAACTTTTCCAATGAAAAATAACACCATAGGAAATTAATGAAAATCAACTTGCAAAATCCAAATTGAGCTAAAATGCACCATCATACATTTGAATTTTTTTCTGGAAAACTACTGGAGGGAAACTCGTGAAACTTTCAGGAGAAAAAGAGGAAAGTTAGGAGCTTATCATGCTAAAATTTCAATTTTTTCCAATGAAAAATAACACCATGAAAAATTAATGAAAATCAACTTGCAAAATCCAAATTGAGCTAAAATGCACCATCATACATTTGAATTTTTTTCTGGAAAACTACTGGAGAGAAACTTGTGAAATTTTCAGGAGAAAAAGAGGAAATTTTGGAGCTCATTATACTAAAATTTCAAACTTTTCCAATGAAAAATAACACCATGAAAAATTAATGAAAATCAACTTGCAAAATCCAAATTGAGCTAAAATGCACTATCATACATTTGATTTTTTTTCTGGAAAACTACTGGAGGGAAACTTGTGAAATTTTCAGGAGAAAAAGAGGAAATTTTGGAATTCATCATACTAAAATTTCAAACTTTTCCAATGAAAAATAACACCATGGGAAATTAATGAAAATCAACTTGCAAAATCCAGATTAAGCAAAAATGCACCTTCATACATTTAAATTTTTTCCTGAAAAACTACTGAAGGGAAAATTATGAAAATTTCAGGAGAAACAGAGGAAAGTAAGGAGTTCATCATACTAAAATTTCAAACTTTTCCAGTGAAATATAACTGAATGGGAAATTAATGAAAATCAACTTTCAAAATCCAAATTAAGCAAAAATGCACCCTCATATATTTTAACTTCTTTCTGGAAAAGTACTGAAGTGAAAATTATGAAACTTTCAGGAGAAAAAGGGAAAGTTAGGTGCTCATTATACTAAAATTTTGGCCTTTTCCAACGGAAAATATCCTTCTAGAATACCCTTAATATCTCCAAACTTCCTTGGGAGATTTCTAAATTTTGAAACTTTGAGGGTTGGAAATACCTTTTACACAGTAGCAATACTCTCAAAATCCTTCTTAAATACCCCTTAAACATCGTTGAAAAGACCTCTAAATTTTGAGAAAATATCTGAAAATTATTTACTTATTTAGAACCTTTTCCAGTGGAAAATATTTTTCTAGAATACCCTAAATATTCCAAAACTTCCTTGAAAAATCTCTAAATTTTGGAAAAATACCTTGTATATTAAAAATACCTTTTACACAGTTACAACTTGCAGTTTAGTTTATCATAATAATACTCGCAAATCCTTCTAAAATACCCCTCAAAAACCTCTAAATTTTGAATAAAACATTCAGTGGAAAATATCCTTCTTCTAGAATACCCTAAATATCCCTAAACTTCCTTGAAAAATATCTAAATTTTGGAAAAATACCTACCTTTTACACAGTAACAATTTATCATAATAATAGCATATACATACATCTCTCTAAAATACCCCTCTACCATCCTGAAAAAACCTTTAAATTTTGAGAAAATACATAAGAATTGTTTATTTAAAAAAACCTTGAACAAATTCATGATTTATTTGTACATTTTTTCTCAAGATTGTGATTATTATTTAAAATATTTCCAAAATAATAAAGATTTACCTACACAGTGTAATAATTTTCAGCTCAATCAAAGACAACATCCTCTACGGCTCAGAAAACCCGGCCCAAGTAACCTCAGAAGAACTGATCCGAGTAGCCAAAGAAGCCAATGTTTACGAATTTGTCCAACAATTACCGCAAGGCTTCGACACTGTAGTGGGCGAACGAGGCGTCATGCTAAGCGGCGGCCAAAAACAACGCGTAGCAATCGCCAGGGCTTTAATCAAAGACCCAAAAATCTTACTTCTAGATGAGGCAACTAGTGCTTTGGATGCACAATCAGAAAGACTTGTGCAAGAGGCTCTTGAGCGTATAATGAAAGGCCGCACCGTACTTACAATTGCTCATAGGTTGAGTACAATACAAAATGCTGACACTATTGCGGTACTACGTGATGGGTTAATTGTGGAACAAGGAAACTATCAGGAATTATTGCAAAATGAAAAAGGAGCTTTTAGGGAATTGATGAAACATCAAGCGTTTCAAAGTTAATTAATAAAAATAATTGTGACTACTTAATATTAAATATAATTTTTATTTATCCTTAATTAATTATTATAATAATTCATTTCCCAGCTTACCTGGTCAAGAGGGTGGTTTCTTGTCTTCGGAACAGCAAAATGTGGGGTTCGGGGCCATGTAGCAAATAATGCACCCAATTAGGGCTTTGTTGAACCCCTAAATTACTATTATAGTGATTTGTATTTGAATTATTGGTAATATTTACCTAAATTTCTCCACTCTGATTCATTCATTAGGTGGTTCCTTGGTACTAGCTTAGCTAAATCTTTAGGTAGAATTACGTGTCTGTACTCGTACTGGCCGTCTGTGTATTTTTCAGAATATTGGATTGTGTCTGCTGGAGGCATCTGCAAAAAAACCATAAAGCAAAGATTAATATTTATGTTCGATACTGGTTTATTTATGTAAAGGAGATTATGACAATGGTAAATAATTACTCACGGTTGTTGTGCTGCATTAATTGAATACAGAAATGTATTTATTATAAACAATTAACAAGGATATTGTTAATTTCTGGTCGGTTTTTGTTTAATTAAAATTAGGCCGAAATATAAACAAATAAAAGTGAGGTTAGGAGGAAGGTTGACGGCCATGACACCGCAACAGGTCAAAAAATTCTTGTATTTTAAGTTAATTTAAACTAATTTTAATTAATTAAAGGTTAATTAACGCTATTTAATGCATAATTAAACATTTGCTGTTGTTTTAAATTAATAAAATAATCAAAAATATATTTTAATGACAAGTGGCGCCATCTATGGACAAAATTGCAAGGTTAGAATTGTTGACGGCCATGTCAGCGCAGGTCAAAAAATTCTCTTATTTTTAGGATATTTAAACTAATTTTAATTAATTGAAGGCTACTTAATGCATAATTAATTACTTTTCATTGTTTTAAATTCATTAATTTAATAAAATAAACAAAAATATAAATCAATGACAGGTGGCGCCATCTATGGACAAAGCGGCAAACTTTTGAACTAAAGCCGTTTTTAGCCGTATCGACAATTTAGATCGATATAAAGCTGGGCATAATTAATAAAATCGATATTGTATTTATGTTTTTTTGATTAAATTAAGTTTTAATTAAGAATTAATCATTAATAATAAATTAAATACACAAAAGGACACATATTTATGTATTATTTTATAAATAACGATTATTAATTAGAGTATTTTGCTGGTTTTTGAATTTTAGTATCGATAAGGCATTTATGTGATGGAAATTTTTAGCAAATTGCAATAAATTATATACCATTGGAAAGAGCATTAAATTCTCTATAAATCTGTGTAAAATTGACTTTGATAGCTCAAATAGTTTTTGAGCAATTGAGCCTCAAACTTGACTTTTAGTCCAAATTTTGTCAAAAATTTCAAACTTAATTTGCTCAAAAGCTATAAATCTGGGAATATTGTAAATCACAGGCCATTTAGAGCTTAATAAGAGCTACAAATGCTGAAAATTTCAATGCAATTTGCTCAACGGTTACTGAGCAATTGAGGTTTGAATATTTTGAAATAAGAATTCAAAGGGGTAGGTACCCTTATGAAAAACTCGATTTTTACATTTTTCAGTTTGCTCAATTTTTTACGTCATTAATCGATAGAGCGGGTCAAAATTAGTGGAAAACAACCCTGACATCAATTTCAAATGGCCATTTTGAGCAGGAACAAAAATTAAAAGAAAATCCTATTTTTGGCTCTGGAAAATTTTCAAAATCTTGACATAGTCATGAACAATTGACCATATCTTTGGTATATTTTTAGCAAATTGAAATAAAATATATACCATTGGAAAGAGCATTAAATTCTCTATAAATCTGTGTAAAATTGAGTTCGATAGTTCAAATAGATTTTGAGCAATTGAGCCTCAAACTTGACTTTTAGTCCAAATTTTGTCAAAAATTTCAAACTCAATTTGCTCAAAAACTATAAATCTAGGAATATTGTAAATTACAGGCCATTTAGAGCTTAATAAGAGCTACAAATGCTGGAAATTTCAATGCAATTTGCTCAACGGTTACTGAGCAATTGAGGTTTGAATTTTTTGAAATAAGAATTCAAAGGGGTAGGTACCCTTATATGAAAACTCGATTTTTTCATTTTTTCAGTTTTGCTCAATTTTTACGTCATTAATCGATAGAGCGGGTCAAAATTAGTGGAAAACAACCCTGACATCAATTTCAAATGGCCATTTTGAGCAGGAACAAAAATTAAAAGAAAATCCTATTTTTGGCTCTGGAAAATTTTCAAAATCTTGACATGGTCTTGAACAATTGACCATATTTTTGGTAAATTTTTAGCAAATTGAAATAAAATATATACCATTGGAAAGAGCATTAAATTCTCTATAAATCTGTGTAAAATTGAGTTCGATAGTTCAAATAGATTTTGAGCAATTGAGCCTCAAACTTGACTTTTAGTCCAAATTTTGTCAAAAATTTCAAACTCAATTTGCTCAAAAAACTATAAATCTAAGAATATTGTAAATTACAGGCCATTTAGAGCTTACTAAGAGCTACAAATGCTGAAAATTTTAATGCAATTTGCTCAACGGTTACTGAGCAATTGAGATTTGAATTTTTTGAAATAAGAATTATGAAAAACTCGATTTTTTCATTTTTCAGTTTTGCTCAATTTTTACGTCATTAATCGATAGAGCGGGTCAAAATTAGTGGAAAACAACCCTGACATCAATTCCAAATGGCCATTTTGAGCAGAAACAAAAAATAAATAGAAAATCCTAGTTTTGGCTCTGGAAAATTTTCAAAATCTTGACATGGTCATGAACAATTGACCATATCTTTGGTATATTTTTAGCAAATTGAAATAAAATATATACCATTGGAAAGAGCATTAAATTCTCTATAAATCTGTGTCAAATTGAGTTCGATAGTTCAAATAGATTTTGAGCAATTGAGCCTCAAACTTGACTTTTAGTCCAAATTTTGTCAAAAATTTCAAACTCAATTTGCTCAAAAACTATAAATCTAGGAATATTGTAAATTACAGGCCATTTAGAGCTTAATAAGAGCTACAAATGCTGAAAATTTCAATGCAATTTGCTCAACGGTTACTGAGCAATTGAGGTTTGAATATTTTGAAATAAGAATTCAAAGGGGTAGGTACCCTTATGAAAAACTCGATTTTTTCATTTTTCAGTTTTGCTCAATTTTTACGTCATTAATCGATAGAGCGGGTCAAAATTAGTGGAAAACAACCCTGACATCAATTCCAAATGGCCATTTTGAGCAGAAACAAAAAATAAATAGAAAATCCTAGTTTTGGCTCTGGAAAATTTTCAAAATCTTGACATGGTCATGAACAATTGACCATATTTTTGGTAAATTTTTAGCAAATTGAAATAAAATATATACCATTGGAAAGAGCATTAAATTCTCTATAAATCTGTGTAAAATTGAGTTCGATAGTTCAAATAGATTTTGAGCAATTGAGCCTCAAACTTGACTTTTAGTCCAAATTTTGTCAAAAATTTCAAACTCAATTTGCTCAAAAACTATAAATCTAAGAATATTGTAAATTACAGGCCATTTAGAGCTTACTAAGAGCTACAAATGCTGAAAATTTTAATGCAATTTGCTCAACGGTTACTGAGCAATTGAGATTTGAATTTTTTGAAATAAGAATTATGAAAAACTCGATTTTTTCATTTTTCAGTTTTGCTCAATTTTTACGTCATTAATCGATAGAGCGGGTCAAAATTAGTGGAAAACAACCCTGACATCAATTCCAAATGGCCATTTTGAGCAGAAACAAAAAATAAATAGAAAATCCTAGTTTTGGCTCTGGAAAATTTTCAAAATCTTGACATGGTCATGAACAATTGGACCATATCTTTGGTATATTTTTAGCAAATTGAAATAAAATATATACCATTGGAAAGAGCATTAAATTCTCTATAAATCTGTGTCAAATTGAGTTCGATAGTTCAAATAGATTTTGAGCAATTGAGCCTCAAACTTGACTTTTAGTCCAAATTTTGTCAAAAATTTCAAACTCAATTTGCTCAAAAACTATAAATCTAGGAATATTGTAAATTACAGGCCATTTAGAGCTTAATAAGAGCTACAAATGCTGAAAATTTCAATGCAATTTGCTCAACGGTTACTGAGCAATTGAGGTTTGAATATTTTGAAATAAGAATTCAAAGGGGTAGGTACCCTTATATGAAAAACTCGATTTTTTCATTTTTCAGTTTTGCTCAATTTTTACGTCATTAATCGATAGAGCGGGTCAAAATTAGTGGAAAACAACCCTGACATCAATTTCAAATGGCCATTTTGAGCAGGAACAAAAATTAAAAGAAAATCCTATTTTTGGCTCTGGAAAATTTTCAAAATCTTGACATGGTCTTGAACAATTGACCATATTTTTGGTAAATTTTTAGCAAATTGAAATAAAATATATACCATTGGAAAGAGCATTAAATTCTCTATAAATCTGTGTAAAATTGAGTTCGATAGTTCAAATAGATTTTGAGCAATTGAGCCTCAAACTTGACTTTTAGTCCAAATTTTGTCAAAAATTTCAAACTCAATTTGCTCAAAAACTATAAATCTAAGAATATTGTAAATTACAGGCCATTTAGAGCTTACTAAGAGCTACAAATGCTGAAAATTTTAATGCAATTTGCTCAACGGTTACTGAGCAATTGAGATTTGAATTTTTTGAAATAAGAATTATGAAAAACTCGATTTTTTCATTTTTCAGTTTTGCTCAATTTTTACGTCATTAATCGATAGAGCGGGTCAAAATTAGTGGAAAACAACCCTGACATCAATTTCAAATGGCCATTTTGAGCAGGAACAAAAATTAAAAGAAAATCCTATTTTTGGCTCTGGAAAATTTTCAAAATCTTGACATAGTCATGAACAATTGACCATATCTTTGGTATATTTTTAGCAAATTGAAATAAAATATATACCATTGGAAAGAGCATTAAATTCTCTATAAATCTGTGTAAAATTGAGTTCGATAGTTCAAATAGATTTTGAGCAATTGAGCC